CAGGAAAATTATCCGTGGATTGGAACGGACAAGAGAATTTTTCTTTGTGTTAAAGTCATTAGTTCCAACCCATAGCTCACAAAACAAAGAAAAATTTTCTTGTCTGTTCCAATCCACGGATAATTTTCCTGAGGCTGAGTGGAAACTAGCCTTAAGGTATAATTATGTGATATCCCCCTTCAAGTCTTTTCCGATTCGCATCTGCTTATTTTTGCTGGAAATTCATTATTTCCAATACATCGTTTATGATCATGAAAAAATACGTTCATACACTGAATAATAATATAACGAACGCTGTATGCAATAACTAAAGTTCCGATCGGATTACGAATTTAAGCATCGGATCGGATTTTATAAACATTTTTTCGGATCGGATTGCTTTTTTCATCTTCGGATCGGATTTGGATTGAGAACTTAAGGCCATGTAGTCTCCTACGCAGCCTGTTCGCGGGTCCGAGTAAAACCTCGGACCCGCGAACAGGCTGCGTAGGAGACTAAAGGCCATGTTACACGGTGCTATTTTTCTTGCAACTTGCAATGCAATTCTAGCTGGCCGGCTTTCGGCTTTAGGGTTAGGAGGTGGGGTTAGGGGTTAGGAGGTGGGGTTAGGGGTAAGGGTTTGGATTAGGATTAACGTTTGGATTAACTGTAGACCCATTACAACCCAATACTTTATTGCATACAATGGCATTACAACGCCAATACATTATTGGTTACAACGTGCGGAACGGCTGACAGCATTGTCACAGAGGAAGTATATCTTTACTCTTTGACTCAAACTTAGCTTTAGCTTGTGTAAATTTTACTGTAATACTAGATTCAATTCAGATTAAATTTGGAGTATTCGATTAATTAACTAGAAATTATAGTATAGCTCAGTGGAAGTTACTATTAAAAGGGGAAAGTGCTGCCGTATGGCTATATATAAAAGTTGTTATTCCTCCTGATTGCAAACAAATATCAAACCAGTATCAAGAAAATTCAAGATCAAAATTTTAATTTATACACAAGAATGAAAATTAAATACAGGAACTAATTAAAATTAGTTGCAGTATTTAATTTTCATTCGTGTGTATAAAAATTGTGTATATTTCGGCTACTCACTTATTGCTTGTTATTTATTTGTATAATCTTTTAGACAAGAAGTGTTCAAGCAACCCATGTCATGCCAATGCCAACTGTACTGACACTGCAGGTTCTTTTGTTTGTCAATGCAATGCTGGGTTTTCAGGAAATGGATCTATAAATTGTTCTAGTAAGTAAATCTTTCATTTATATATGTCTAAAATTTTGTATCTTTCTGCTAATTATTGTTTTTTATTTATATAATCTTTCTAGACATCAATGAATGTTTGACCAGCCCATGTCATCCCAATGCCAGCTGTACTGACACTCAAGGTTCTTTTGACTGTCAATGCAATGTTGGGTTTTCTGGAAATGGTTTGAATTGTTATAGTAAGTAAATCTTTTATTCATGCTGTGTCTATAATTTTGTAACTTTCCGCTAAATTAATACATTTCTTTTTTTAGACGTCAATGAATGTTTGACCAGCCCATGTCATCCCAATGCCAGCTGTACTGATACTGAAGGTTCTTTTGACTGTCAATGCAATGTTGGGTTTTCTGGAAATGGATTGAATTGTTTTAGTAAGTAAATCTTTTATTCATGCTGTGTCTATAATTTTGTAACTTTCCGCTAAATTAATACATTTCTTTTTTTAGACGTCAATGAATGTTTGACCAGCCCATGTCATCCCAATGCCAGCTGTACTGATACTGAAGGTTCTTTTGACTGTCAATGCAATGTTGGGTTTTCTGGAAATGGATTGAATTGTTTTAGTAAGTAAATCTTTTATTCATGCTGTGTCTATAATTTTGTAACTTTCCGCTAAATTAATACATTTCTTTTTTTAGACGTCAATGAATGTTTGACCAGCCCATGTCATCCCAATGCCAGCTGTACTGATACTGAAGGTTCTTTTGACTGTCAATGCAATGTTGGGTTTTCTGGAAATGGATTGAATTGTTTTAGTAAGTAAATCTTTTATTCATGCTGTGTCTATAATTTTGTAACTTTCCGCTAAATTAATACATTTCTTTTTTTAGACGTCAATGAATGTTTGACCAGCCCATGTCATCCCAATGCCAGCTGTACTGATACTGAAGGTTCTTTTGACTGTCAATGCAATGTTGGGTTTTCT